ATAAAATAAACTCCCTTTATGAAATATTAAGGAATTCTCTCTGTATGAACAACAAAGGACCTCACCTGTATTGTGCTAAACAATGTTTGCCACTCCTTGGAGTTTGTGAAAAGCGAAAGTCAAAAGCCAACTTCGATTACACCTACAAGCATATTTATGTACACGTATGTACATACCCAAATAGAGTTTGTGCTTCACGCTGAGTTTCAAAAATTTGTTTACATTATTGTCTACACCGAGACGAATATTTCACACAACGATAGAAAGCGAGGGAGAGAGAGGGAGAGACCAAAAAAGGGTATAAATTTCGTTGATTAATGTGTGGTGCGGTGAGGTGGTGGTGGTAGTGCTGAGTTGGCAGAGTTGTTTATGTAAACGGGAATGCCGACAGACATGAAACGAACTCAGCAACAAAAACAATGAGTAGAGAGAAAAAAATATACCGAAATAAATAACCAAACACGACAGCGTTGCATGCAAAATAAGAACGTTAAATGAGCGTGGAAAAATGGAAAAAATATTATTTTCCTGCTGTTACTTAATAAAGTAGAATTTTTCGACGTAAAATCGCAAATAATTACATACATACATAGACAGCGTTCAATTAACTTTTGTTTGCTTTTCTCTTTTGTACTTCGTGAAATTGTATGTATGTGTAGAAAGGATAACAGCAACTCCTGTGGGGATATTCAATTTGAGTATTTATTACATACATATATATGTGTGTTATGTGTAAAAAAATAAATTGAAATGAAAAAATATGGCATTTTGTAATTGAAGCTCAGCAATGTGTGGTTGCGGGCGGCAGCATTGGCTAGACAATGTTTGATATTAAAATTATGGCAGTTAAGTTCCCACTGGGAAATAAGAATTTTGTACGCATCGCATACTGGTTGGCATAAGCAAACTAAAATTTTACAAATTCTTACTTTACCATAATCAAGTAGTTATAGCGGTGAATCAGCGCATGGTGTGCTAATGTCGTTATGTGAGAAAACAAGAAAATTTCTTCTGCCTCTGGTGTATACTTATTTGCGCTGTGGTTCTTTAGAACATATTTGGTCTACTTTTTATTTAAAATATCAATCCGCCACAGCACTTTTTTTGTTACCTTTTTTCACTTTTTCGAGTAGCTCGCATGGTGTAGTTTCGATTTTGGCACAAATGTTTGCCTTCAGCTTGTCCGTTGTTCCAATAATTGCTGAATCACGAATCAAATACTTACTCATTTACTTCATTGGTCCAAACACCGTTTACGCGATTAAAGCCGAGTTAAAAACATTGCGTCCTTCGTTTCTTTTTCTCGCTGTCTGGCGCCAATTGGAAATACAAAGCACAACAGGACCTTCTCTCTCTCTCTGGTCTTTCCAACGCAGTGGAGATCTTCCTCTTCCTCTGCTTTCACCGACTGGTATTGCATCGAATGCTTTCAAACATTGATTATTCGTATCCTTCCGGACTACATGACCTAGCCAGCGCTGCCGCTGTTTCTTGATTCGCTAAACTACATAAGTGATTGTCGCCGTATATCTCATACAACTCATCATTTCATCGGCTGCGTTGTTCGCCATTCCCAACTCGTAGAGGACCATAAATCTTACACAAAACCCTTTTCTCGAAAACTCCTAATGTCGATTCAACAGCTGCTGACATCGTCTATCCTTCCGCACCATACAGCAGGACGGGAACGATGAGTGACTTGTAGAGTTTGGTCTTCGTTCGCCGAGAGAGGATTTTACTATTCAATTGCCTACTCAGTCCAATGTAGCAACTGTTGGCAAGAGTGTTTCTGCGCTGGATTTCAAGGTTGACATTATATCTCACCCGAACTTATTCAAATAGTCGCACAAAATGAAAACAGAGGGAGTAAACTCTGAAGATCCGGCAGTATACATCCAGTGAATTTCCGTAACAAAAACTGATCCTTTTCGCATATTAGTACGCTGGCTTGCTTTCAAAAATACATGTATGACGTTATCAAGCAGGTAGCCTCTCACTCGATGCTTAGTTATGTAGCTTATCATTTGAATATATTTCTTAAGTAAAGGGCCACAAACCATATCCATAACCAAAGGGGGTGATAGGCATTCTCACTTTAACTGGTCTCGAAAAGGATCCTGGGTCTAAGATCAGAAGCCGTGGGCTGCTTGAACCAAATGTAAACCAATCATTTCTGGTCATTCCAATATGAGTTGAAATCTAAAATATTCCTCACTAGCGTGAGCTTCTACATATAACCCGATGGAAGGCATCAGCTATAAACGCGTTAGCAAGGCCTGCAACAATGTAGAAGAAGAAGAAACTAGTTCAAATTAATCTTCAAATTGTGTTTCAAAGTGGTTCTACTAAAACCAAATCGCTGAACGCGCTGGAGATGCGATTCCTTCGGTTCTGAACAAACCTCTCTCTCACTGTAGTTTTGATAAATGGCATGTCAAAAGGTCATTTTGCTTAAAGTTATCAGCGTCCCGTAGAAGATCTGTATCTCTGAGGATGTTCAGTGCCAGTATATATAACCACAATTATAGCCACGATAGACTGTTGGTATACCATGAATGGTTTTTTAACAGCTTTCGAAATACACAATCGATTTCCACCGTCCATTTCGCCTTTGAATTGTTCGATCGCTTTTTCTTTCTTTGTCATGCCCGAGTGCTGGGACTTCTATTGTAAGACTGCTACCATGTTTCGTTATTGTGGCAGAACCACTTGGTGTCCCCAATGAAACTACGAAACTACTTAGATCCGACGTGTTTTTGTGGGCAATCATTCAAGGTTGGATATCTTATGGATTCCACTCACAGATAAAATGTTTCATGTTTTTTTGAAGCTGCGGCTACAACTATTATAGAGCAACGCCTGTGGGTTAGGGGTTACATAATTGTGCCGCAGTAAGGCTGCCTATCGTAAGAGTCAACTAAAATTCAAAACTTCCCGCGACAGTCAGGTCTTTATACCGGATTGACACGGATTTTTATCCGGCCGAAATCTGTGACTGGCGGAACATTTCCCAAAAACTAGTTTGGGGAATATTTTTGCGGCTACAACAACAACTATTATAGAGCAGTCCCATTTTAGCTACATGTCCTTTTATGCTTGCTCTAAGTCTATATTTATATATAGTCTTAAGAGATCTATTTACTAAAAGAGTCCTATTTATAACCCGTCATAAAAGTACGAAATCTGCTTCGTTATATTACAGTTGAGTATAGATTTCCATCTGCGCTGAGCAATTTGTAATTGAATCTCTTTCCTGATTGTCTCAGGCGGACATGGTTTGATCACCACTTCGGATACATCAAAAGATGCTTCCAATTCAGTCAACTCGTCACAGCGTTACTGAAAATAGTCTTATAGCCGGAAACCTAAGTTATGGAGTTGTCGATGACCCTCTATCGAGCTTAAAACTGTTCCACCATCATTTGCGACACCAGAATTCACCATTGTTGAGGTTATTGCCAACAAATTCCCCTTAACTGCCCGACTATCCTTAGTTGCCAGCTGTACACTTCCACAGTCGATGTCGATGAGAGCCCTACAGGCATTTGAAATGTCTAGTATTTCGGCTTGAAAGATGCTCGTTGAGTTTGGTAAACGCATAGAGAGGGAAAGAGAGAGACGAATAGAGGTTCTTGGAGGATATATCCGTTCTCTCACCGTAGTTCATTTTGAATCCTGTGATGTACGAAACTTCAGATGGTATTAAAAGCAACCCCTGTACAGTATGATTTTTGGATTCTATTTAATTTTCTAATAATCCGATGTCCGATTAACTTAACCCTTAACCGGAGGATAACCAACCGCTTGATAGGCCGATGTGTCATTTTCGTTTTCACCAAGTTCTGGTTACTTAACCTCTGGTTAGTTTGATCCTTGTAAATATTTTAGGCTCAACTCAATTCTTTACGGCAGAGTCCTCGCGTCTATTGTGGTTACAAACCTCCAGAAAATTTAAGCGGCAAAATTCATGTATTTTTTTTTTTTTTTTTTTTCAAAAACTCAATTTCAATTTCAAGCCACTCTCTATAAGATTTTGTTTCGAACTGTTTTATCTCCCCTTTAGTACCCATAATTGGAAAACACATTCAATTTCAAGTTTTTCAAGTACAAACCAAAAAAATGGACTTTATGCAAAAATTTCAGCCTTTTTGCCCACAGTGCACTGTCCAGCATTGACATCCGCATGTCACAAGTTCCTCAGGAAACACTTCCTCTTTGGTTTGCTGAGTTAGCTTGAGCGGAAATTGATAATTTTGTTGATTTTGTAAGGCACAGGAAATGGGTCGAACATTTTAGGAGGTGAAGACAGGAGCATCACAGTGGTATCACAGTGGGCCTATTGGCCTAAGTGCGTTAGTCACTGATCAGCAGCCACATCAGCTCAACCCAACTCAAAGTAGTGTTTCAAAAAACAGCTCTGAAACCAACTGTACGAGATCGGCTTCATGTGCTGTTGCCCTAACTCCTCCTACATCGAGTTTGTTTGGCTCCAACGCCTAGAGCTGCGGGTGTAGGACTATTTTTGAGACGTACTTCTGGATACACCGGATTGTTTGATTTGATTGTTTGTGCTCTTCATAAAAATCGATTGCAAACCTGCAAACAACACCGTTGATTGTTCATCTGTTTAAGGTTCGGATCAGTGGGATTAGCGCATTGATTTGAACTCGTTTGCAGCGACGCTCAAATTAACTACATAAACCAATAAAATATTTTAATTATTTTTAAAATTTAATAATTTGCGACAGATGAGTCTGCTTACTTATTTCGCTAAAAAAAAATACTATACTTAGTGTATTGAAAAATGTTACTTTGGGCGAACTTCGGATTTCAGTCTTGTTTCTTGCTGAAAGACCAAAGAACCGAAGAAAATCGAGAATTCGAAAATCTTTGAAAACTTCACAATTAAATGCAAAAATATTTATTATAAACTGAAAAAAACAAATTCTAATTAAATTGTTTCTCTCTTTCTCTCTCCCTCTCTCTCTCTCTCTTTCTAGGTGTACGCAAAGCACGCGCCTAATTGCCCAACAACACACTAAATACCCATCGAGATGTTTCAAATATAAAATTCAAAAATTAAATTTACCAACTGAATTGAATTGAGACACGATGCAAAAACAACAAATCACAAAAAACACATAAAAATTGCATGCAAATATCGCTACATACACAAACAACAGCAAACGAAAGAAAGAAAAGCGGGAAAATTGGTAAATGTGAAAGAAAATCGAAAATAGATGAATGAGCATTTCATATTTAAAAATCAAACAAGCAAAAAAACAACAACAACAACAACAACAACAGCAACAACAAAACACAATTACTAACTGACATACTTCTTACGAAGAACAACAACAACACAAACAACTAAAGAACCACAAAAGAAATAAAACGAATTAAAAATAGATAACAGAAAGAACAGACAAAAAATGATATAAAACCAGAAAATAAAAAATAAAATTTAAATTCAAAATCAGACTTAATAAGTTATATAAAATTAATCAACCAAAATACGGCTAGTTGTAGCGAAAAAGATGAAAAAAATAAGACAAAAATTATTAAATTAAATAATAATAATTGTAAACCCCAACTAAAAACCTTAACTTATTTATAGAGATCTTCAAAAATGAAATTTGATTACAACAAAAATAGTGAATACTGAATAACGTTTAGAAATGATAAATTTAAAAAGCAAACAGACTTATATACCATATATATATATATATATATATATACACAAATATATATATATATACAATACATATATATATACATTAAGAGTTGCTAAATAAAACAGAAGAGTTGCAATTACATTACCAAAACAGAAAAGAAAAATCCCATAAATTTAAACGAAAATCCCCAAAATATTGAAATGCAAATAAAAGACCGCAAAAATTATATACATATACTCATTACAGTTAGAACATAAGGCAGTGCAGTTAAATAGCACAGTATTGGCAGAACAATTTGCCTGCTCCAACGAACCGAAGTGTCGCCATGGACCCGAAACAGCCTCGGAGCATACCTGGAACAATGCATGCGTCGAGGCGTTGGGTTCTTGCACACTCAGCGAGGCGCGTTCATACAGTTTACAGAGCGTAAAAGTGTGCGAGTATATTTAAATTTTATTAAAATTAAAAGTAATAATTAAAATTAAAATTTAAATACTAAAAAATAAACCAAAAAAACAAAAAAAAAATAAGTAAAAATTCAAATATTTAAAATAAGAATTATTACTTATATACATACGATACATTACGAGCAGTTTAAGCGAGATGAGTTGAAGACAACCAACAAAATATTGAATGAAATTAAAAACAAAAGAAAAACAAACAAAAAAAAATTAAAATAAAAATAAAAATTATATTTGTTTTACAAAAGCAGAAGACATTAAATCATAAAAGCCAAATCCATAAGATTTTACTAAGAAAATTAAAAATAAAGCATGATTAGAGCGAAAGTAATTAATAAAAATTCCAAATACAAATACCATATTTACAGATGAAAAATAAAATAAATAAGAAAGATATTTGCATTTCTATGCTGACAGATAAACAAAACTGAACTGCAAACAAAAAAACACACAAAACTATGTTTTACATTCGATTTTAGATTAAAAATGTTTTAAATCAGAAACTGTTTTTTTTCTAATTTAAATATTTTTTTTTTTATACAAATAATTAGGAAATTAAAAAAAAATTTACAAGCTTAATTTTTTCCAATTTTAGTTTAACATTTTTAATTTTTTTCTGTTTTATAATTTTATTTTTCTTATTTAATATATTATTTTATTTTAAAACATTAATTTTTACTATTTTCCTTCCTTTAATTTTTTATTTCATCGTACTCAAGCGTATTTAATTGCTTTATTTAAATTAATTTTTTTGTGCATTAATTTAATGCCTTTAACTCAATATTGTTTAATTTAATTTAAACTAATTTTAATTTTGTTTTAATTTTAATTAGTCAAGTTTTATTTAGTTTATTTGAATTTAGTTTATTTTTTAAATTTATTTTAATCCCTTTTTATGTTTAATTTTTTTTTTAATTTATTTTATTTTATTTTTCAACATATTTTATTTTATTGTATATTTTATTTTGTATTTTATTTAATTTTTCTAATTAAGCCTTACTTTATTGTATTTATTTATGGATTTTATTTGATTTATTTTCAATTTATTTTATATTTTAAGTTAATTTTATATATTTCTATTATTTTTTTATGATCCATATTATATTATTTTTATTTATTTTGTTTAATTAAACTAAATTTTTTTATTTGCGTTAGTTTTATTTTGTTTCTTATTTGAATTATTTTATTTTTTTTAATGTTATTTCATTATTTTTGTCTTTATTCATTTTAATTTAATTACATTTTAATTTATTTGTTGAATTTTTATTTTAATTCTTTTTAATTATTTTCCTATTTTATTCTATTTAGTTAATTTTATTTTTTTCTTTTTAAAATTTTGCATTTCATTGGCTTTATTTTATTTTAAGTTGAATTATTTATTTTTCTTTAATTTAATTTTAATTTACTTTTCATTATTTTAGTTTTTATGTATATGTTTTATTTAATTTTTTTTATTAAATTAATAATTACAAGTATATTAAATTAAATAAATAATTCTTATATTTTTAATTATTTTATATTTTATGTTATTTAATTAAATATAAGTTTATTAAATTCTTTCTTTTTATTTTCGTTTTTATTGGTTTTATTTTATTTTATCTTTTTCATTTTCAATTTTTAATTATTTTTGTTATATTTTTTATTTTATTTTACTGAAGCTAATTTTTTATTTTGATAAAATTTATTTTATATTATTTTATTTTAGTTTGTTTCATTATATTTGATTTTAAATTATTCATTTTCATTTTAATTTCTTTCATTTAGTTTTTTATTATGTCAATTTATTTTATTTTAATTTTTATATATGTTTATTCAATTTATCTAATTTTATTTTATTTATTTTAATTTAATTTAATTTTTTTTTTATTTTATTTAATTTTATTTAATCATATTTCATTTAATTTTCAAATTTTAATTATTTTATTGTGTTTTATTTCATTTTATTTAAGCTTTTTTTATTTTATTTTATTTAGATTTATTTTACATTATATTAATATATATTATTTTATTTGACTTTATTTTATTATGTTTTATTTTTTTCCTTTTTTATTTTATTTTGATTTATTTCATAGTATATTATTTTATATTATTTTATTTTAGTTTGTTTTTTATATTTTTTTTAAATTCAAATCAATTTCTATCATTTTATTTTATATTGTATTATTTTTTATTTCAAATTTAATTTATTTTACCTTTTTTTATTTCATTTGTTTTATTTTATTATATTATGTTTTAATTTTTTTTTTTATAAATCCTTTTTTATTATTTTTTTTTTTTTTATTCAATCCCAAAAATCGGCACACATCTAAAACAATAATAAAAAAATAACTTTTAAAAATCAACAACAGTTACAACAGATTTTTAGATATTTAAATATGGTTATCTGTAAATATTGTAAAGAGCGAAGGTTGAACGCACACACATACATACACGGGCTTTAAACTTTCTTCCTTGTCTTTTGAAGAAGCAGCTTTGAGAAACTTCCTCAAAAAAAAACATTTCAACTCTTATCTTTAATGGTTCTTCAAACTTCGAACGACTCCTTGAAATAATAACCAAACCCACACGAACAAACAAATACACGTACATGCAGCCACTCAAAGTAAACACAAAAGAACATTTCCACTATAGAAAGGCATATACACACACACACACATGCATAGAGACAACTGCATTATCAAATGAAATGAATTAAAAAATAAATTCAATTGCAGTAAATAACAAAATCTACAACAAAAACATAAACAAACAAAATACCACAAAAATCAAGAGAATAACTGTATATGCGCTCAAATGGCCGCAATCGAATTAAGTGAGTGTTTTTAATTGTCTGTGAATTATTTTCAATGGAAATTACAATTACAGTTACAGTATTTACATAAATATACATATTATATAATAAAGAACAAACCAATAATTGGATGATATGCAAATATAAAACATAAATCAATAACAACAACATAAACAAATGTGTACACGACACACACGAAGCACACACAAATGCATAAATAAATAATGAAGAGAATAGAACTCGAGACACATTTAAACATACAAAAATACGAGTATATGAAAAAGAAACTGAGAATATAAAATTTTAAACAAATAAATAAAAGTGAATAAAAAACTTTACGATAAAAACAAGAAAGGAATCTTTTTTATTTCTTTAATGGTTTCTTAGTTGGATAGAGAATAAAAGAGAGAGAGATAGTGAGAGAGGGAGAGAGAGAGAGAGTGAGAGAGAGTGAGAGAGGGAGAGTGATAGAGAGAGCGAGAGACAGAGAGAGAGTGAGAGAGACAGTGAGAGAGAGAGAGAGTGAGAGAGAGAGAGAGTGAGAGAGAGAGAATGAGAAAGAAAGGGTGAGAGAGAGAAGAAAGAGAGAGAGGAAAGAGAGAGAGAGAAAGAGGGAGAGTGATAGAGTGAGCTTATCACTCTTCGTTTATTCTCGATGCCAGCATTTCCAATCTCCCTTCGAGTGGAGATCTTCTCTGTAGTTTTTTATATAAATTTAATCTCCAATGCTCTCTTAATAGTTCCATATAACACGAAGCCTGCAGTGATTGATCTAAGTAAGGTTTACGAAAACTCCATAGTATTTGTTACCATGGCATCAGTGCATCATAAGTAAAGAGAGAACCTTTTAGAACACAAATTGAAATGCCAGTCTCTCTCATCAAAGTGAGGCATGTACAACAAGACATTTCAGTACTACCTCACCCTACAGCGGTGTAAGCGTGAACAATATCCCGATTAAATAGTTTTCGAATGGTTTTGTGGTAGACAAGGGAACGCTGAGCTGAGAGCAATATTCTGTGCATTCTCGCTTATGGTATTCAGATAGACGAAAGCACGCCAGCTTTTAAAGCATTCTATGCAGTACTTACTGTTTGAGGTAGCGAGCATCAGGTGAAGAAAGACATACCATTCACCGAATATCTCAAGCTGTTGCTGATTCAACCAAAAAAGTGAACAAGGGAAAGAATTTGTTACTGTTTAATCGCTAACCAACC